AGAATAGAGGAAAGGGTATACTAGGTTATAAGTGAAGCAGCATGTATCTCCCTGTTTCCCATTGGTTGTTTATGCAACATCAATACAACACTTTAGAAGCCAAATTACTAAACAAGCTGCCAATTAGGCTTGCAGTCAGCTGGATAGATTAGTAGCTAAGAGAAGCAGTTACAAGATTTTCATCTCTTGAGCCAATTACTCAAGTGAATTACCATCCCCAGAGCTCCTTGGGAATTTAAGACAGAAAGACTTATTCAGCTATGATAGGCATAAGTGAGACCCAGGATAAGGTTAGAGTTGTCAGATCATATAGATTGGCCAATGGGGGGGGGGGGAATCCTATCTACGAGAAGACTTAAAGTATTTAGGATTTAGGAGTGCTGGAAAAGAAAATAATGAGTGTGCAAACTTAATTAAATTTAAGTATATTAAAGTTATAAAGGGAGGCAATCGGAGCTAACATTGATCGAGTATAGAATAGAATTCTGCTATGGTAAAATGTTTAATTTATCATCTTTTACATGCATTTATTATTAGACGGTTTAAATATATAAGATCAGACAATACCATATGAAAATGATTTGACTATACTATACAGAGTGATGGAAATCCATTATACTTCTGAATATATATAGGTACATGGGTACAGAAAAAAGAAAGAGAATCCATTTACTATTACAACTTTCATGATCTTTAACTGGGTAAAACAGTTCATCTTAGGGCAACTATTCTGAACCAAGGTATCTCAAATGGGCTAACTTACAGAATATGTCCCAAAAGTAGCACCAAAGGACTGAAATTTGGAAGGTTGTGGTTGCTTCAGGACTGCTGGCTGCTGCTGTACTGCTGCTACGGTCATGTGATCTTCATTTTCAATGTTCTGTGGCAGTTTTCCAGCCAGTCTCACAATCCCTAGTCCTTCACCCAGCAGCATCACTCACCTGCCTGCTGGGAAGGAAGGGAAAGAAAAGAAGGAAAGAGGAAGAAGGAATAGCTGTGTATCCTTCCTGGCCTAAGCCACCCACTGCATATTTCCCGAACCTGTGCTACCTCTGCACAACTTCCACAACCCATGTTGCTCTCCCTTCATGCCTTCCCCAACCCATACAGTATTTCTTGCACACACCCATATACCCTTCCCGACATGCACCTGCGTGCCTTCCTTGACCCATACGATATCTCTTTGGCACCCACCATACCCTTCCCAACCCATGTCCTCCCCAACCAGCACAGCAGCTCTTACACATCACTCTGACCCCCTTGCATTGTTCTTGTCCTGCACCTCTCCCCGCATACCCTACTTGACCCATGAAGGATCTCTTACACCAGGGGTCCCCAACCCCTGGACCATGGACCAGCACAAGTCTGCAGTATGCCAGAAACCAGGCTGTGCAAATAAGTAAAGTCCCATCCACCAGATGCAGACAGCACACAAAACCACACCTCCTCCAGTCCGCGGAAGAACCTCTCTCCACAGATCTGGTCCATGGTTTCCAAAAGGTTGGGGCCACTGTATTATATAACCCCATGACTCCCACTTACTCTTCTTTACTTGAACCCCCACTGTAGCGCCTGACCAACACAGCACCTCACACATACTGGAACTTTTCCAGACCTATGCCACCCATCTGCACAGCATCTCTGGTGCATACTCACACACCCCTTGCAACCCATGCAATACCTTTCATGAACCTCACATACCATTCCTGAGTCTACAACTTGCTCCCTCCCCCACATAGCAGCAGCCACTTACCTGCCTGCTAACCTTGGACTTGCAAATTCCTCCTGGTTTCCCCACTGACTTTCTCCCTACAAGCTTCCTAGAAACAAAGTAAATGGACAAGCCAGCACAAATTGGAAGAAGTAAAGGAAGGAGGATGGAAGAAAGGAAGGAGGGAGGGAGAGAAGGAAAGGAAAGAAAAGGCTTCCCTGTTATCTTCCCACAAAGAAACTCAATGGAGAAGTTGGTAGGAAGCCGAAAGTTGCTCTTATTTCTGCTGCTGTTTTGCCCACCCAAGGTCATTCTGTTTATCTGCTCAGCTAAGGAAATGTCTCTGAAACCATGACTCAATGGGGTGTGGGTTGTCTAGTTGCTTATAAAGCTTCAGTCCTAAAAGTGTGTAGCTCCTATTTTATCACAGCAGTTTTTCCTAAGTTCAAGAAACTGACCATGATGGGCATAGAATTGTCCTATTAGACAATCAGACAGTCAGTTACACTGAATAATTAAAAAGTACTTCTAGGGAACTGGGAACAGGACATCAAATCTGTACTCTGGATTTTTTTTTTAACATATAGAAGGGTATTTGTATAGATCTGGTATTGCAATTGCTGTGACATACACTTGAATTATTTAAAAGCAAAACATATTTCTTTCCAAATGTATATAAAAATGTCTAACCATGAAATATATGCATATAGTACATGAAAGTAACAATTGTTTTTTTCTAAAAATGCAAACATCTAAATCAAACATCATATCCCATGAAAATGGCATTTTCTCCCCATTCTGAATCTTTTAAATGTATTCAGTGTGGTGTTTTTCTAAAAAGCATAATCCTGTAAATTGTATTCCTATGGCCTAGGAGTACAGTATTTACAACCTACTTAACCTGAGTGAATCTTTCGTCCTGGTAAGCATACTTTGAATGGCAGCATCAATCTTCTGTTAAACATAAAGCAGTATAAATTTGATTACAGACATGAAAGAGAAGAATTTTTTTCAATTGTAGCGCTATGAGTTAAAGGTTCACACATATTGAAAATGACATTTTTACCTAATTGAGGCCTGTTTTGTATCCAGCTGGTTTCAAAAGTCTTTTTAAAAGTAGTATTTAAAAACTAGCATATCAAAAACTATAAATGTTAGAAAATACTTTGCATATTGAACTATAGTCAATATTTCTGATGTTCTTTTCAGTTTAAGACCTACTGAAATTCTCCAACTATTAAAATATTCTCCCCATTTTTAAATACTGCGTAGTTATAGTCTGAACTTCAACAAGCTGCTGTATCCTAAAATGATTAAACAGATGTGAAGCCTATAGCAGCATTAGACCTCTGATCTGATTTTAGCATACAGATGGAATTAAATTAATTCATACCAAACCCTCTAAAATAAAAGGTATGGCATTGAATGCTAGTGCTCTGTTTAACCAGAATGCACCCGTACCAACAGCTGTTGAGAAAAATTGTATGCCTTAATTTTCATAGAAATCTACCCTTAATGACATCACATTATTTTGAAATAAAAATTAAATTGCAAATTTGTTTTCTTTTTGCCCCCTTTTGCCTCTTTTTAAGGAGCTCCCCTGATTTATTACATATATACTATTGCCTTTTGGTTTTACAAACTTTATATTACATTTTCAAAACACTTGCATAATAAAAAGTGCCATCAAAAAATTTGAGGCTAATTTAATAAGAAGATGGTGTCATTTACTATGGTGTAATTTTGTGAGTTTGGAAGATTTTGTTTTGTCAGTATAAATCACTGTAATATCAAGGTGATGTGGATGGGTGTATATGCATGTATCATGATAACCTTTCAACTGCTGCCCACTCAGTTGACTAACCAGGCCAGGTTTTAGATACCAGTCAAATTTAGCAGATTTTAAAAAGACAGAGAGGCTCATGTGCCAATGGATCAACAGAAAACTATCAGCAAACAGCATTAACTAGGTGATTGCCACAAATGTTTACTGCTTTGTTCACAAGCTGTTTGAAAGGTTATATTTCTTACTGATGGGAATAGATTATTTTAATCTTAATCAACATGATTAGAATTCCCCCAAATGCCACATTCCTATATCTCTTCTGATTAAAGCATCATTTTTTCAGTATATAAAAATGTACTTACACAGCATATATCTTTAACAAAATTAAATGTCCACAGATATGATTCAGGTATAAAGCAGCCAAGTTACCAAGCCACACTTTGAAGGTTAGGATCTTGAGCTGGACATTGGATATTAATTTTTCTTCTCAAATTTCACCTGAGAATTTTGTTCTTCCATTTTAAGTTGTATCTCTGTAGGGCAGTAATGCTATTAGCAGCCATGCTGCCATTCTGCATTTTGCAAATTTCCTTCTGATGTTGTCACAACATTTGGGTGCTGGCAGTTGTTGTCTCTAAAACCGAAAGCAAAATGAGAGAACAACTTCCCATCCCCAGAACATGATTTGGCAAGGAGATCCTGTTACATCTTGCACTGGTCGTTTGTGCTAAGAATAGGTGATGCTAATTAGCAGATTAAAAGTGAGATCCTGATTTTCCATCTGCTTCTAATTTGGTGTGAAGTGATTGCGAGCTTATAACTATAGATATGGTTTAGTTCTATATCGTTATAAAAGGAGAATGCATGACTCTGAGTCTGATATTTGAGCCATCCAACTGTGAAGAGATTCAGACATAGCCTACTTTAACTCTTCCTGGATATGCAAAGGAACTGAATCTGTAAAATCCTGCACAAGCATAGCATCTGTCTGCAACGCTGTAAAGTAACCACATAATCCCAAGAAAAACTGCAGCCATGAGAAGATTGCAAACATATGCAACATTTCTGCTTTATACACTTCAAAGCACCTTTTCAGAACTGAAATGCTATATAGATTTAACATATTAATTTAAATGTGTGTGATAGAGGGCCACCATGAAAAATACTATCTGTATTTCTACTTCTATTAGTAGAAGTTTAGTTTCTGAAATTTATATAAATCTTTCAAGCGTTTGGCTATAAGGAGTGTTTAACAAAATCATACCATACAATGACATTGTCACATTCATATAAAGCATTTTCTTTGAAATAAGGAAGGAAATCAGCCTATACCATTTTCAAATTAGCATTTGGAAGTCAACCTGGAAGTCAATATGTACAAAGACATCTTGTTCAGCAACCTATTAGAAAAATTAAGAGAAAAAGAAAGTTTAGAGCTTATTGGGAGATTATTGTATTCATGTGATTGTACTAATTAGTGTTGAATATTCCTTTTTGTCTCAGGGTTTGTTGGTGAAAACGCTCAGCCAATCTCAGACAGCAACATTGGGAATCGGATGCTCCAAAGCATGGGCTGGACACCTGGCACAGGCCTTGGGCCAGATGGCAAAGGGATAGCCGAACCAATCCGGGCAATTCAGAGGCCAAAGGGACTTGGACTTGGATTCAGCTGACAGAAAGAGATTCCAGTTGCTGGTTCAGACATCAACAAAACTAACTTGAACTTTGAATATCTGAAAACATTCTAATTTGTTGCCAAGACATCCAGTGATTCTTACTGTAATTTTTTCATAGAGATGCTTCATTGTTTTCTGTTAAAGCTGTGTGGGGCCAGTCTTTAGGGCAGTCCTAATCTTTGAATCCTGAGTGTGTAATAATGATCATCTTTTAAATTGTACCTTTTTTTTAAAATTTTCTGTGGTATTAATTAGTTATGTTGTCAAAGATTCAAAGAAATGGTTAAATTCTCCTCCCATTTTTTAAAAGCCTTGCCAACACCGTACATAAACCCATTATCCCTTGCTGGTTTAACATAGGTCTTTTACTCTGGAAAGCTGCTTAGTTACTAAGGCGTCTTGTCTGGGAAGTATTTTGCTGTGTTTCTCACATTCATTCCAAACAATTGTAGTGGGTAGTACAAAAGAAAGCCTGGCTACAAAAAATTTTTTGTAGTAAGAGGCAAAAATAGAATAGGAAAAGAAATCAGAGTTTACCTTTTGAATTGAGATGCGCAAAATGCTTTGAGCTAAACACAGCATATGGGGTTAGATGGGGTTAACAGTGTCATTTTTTACATGGGTGTGATAAATGTAATGAATGTTAACAGGGTAAGGGGTTTCAATTGCTCTGTGGCATGGACTATTTTTGTGCTATATATATCTGTCTCTCCACAGATGCCCCCAATCCGTAGTCCAAAACATTAGGGGCAAAGCCTAAATTAAATTGTGTGTATATAATTAAATTAATTACATACAAGTAATATGATCTTTTATATTTCTCATCTTTGGGCACGATAATTGTGATTGCAACAGGTGCTACATCAAATTTTGGGGGTCACATTTAGCCCTGGAGCCTCAGGTGATGCACCCTTGTTTTTAAAATATTGCCATATGACTCTATATAGCCTTGATTCATTGGGTCTTCTAAATGGTTCAGTATTGTTATATGCAATCTCTCTAGATCAGCGTACATTGCATCTTGCTTCAAAATGTGCAATTTTGCACGAGAAATGCAAAATGACAAATGATGAATTTGTCTTCCAACATTTGCAGCAGGTAACTCAATTCTCTTTTTTTATTTACACGCCCTCCAAGTTCAATATTAACCTTTTTTTTTTAACTTTCCTTTCTGGTGTCTTAGCTTGTATTCTTTTTAAAATAAAAATTTAAACCTACTGTCACCTTTTACCATATCACTGTGACTGTCTAACTTGAGGGGATGGATTTAAAATGGGACCATGTTAACTAGATTCCATCCATGGTAGTTTGGGGAATATTTCTGTAATTGACAAATGGTGCCTGCTAGTGAGAAGGAAGGCTTCCCGGGCACAATTTTTTTTAAAAATGGCAAAGGGAATAGTAAAACAGACAGCCTTTTGATAAGATTAACAATATTATACTTAATCTTTGGACTTGTCATTGTGCTGACATCTCAAATTCATTAAAGAGGACTTCCATCAATGCATTAATGATGTGTTCTAATTATTATGCTAGAATGGCATATCTGCTCCCCAAACTAATTGCCCTTTGAATTCATTAAAATACTCCTACCAGAATATGATCATAAGGCAGTTCCCGGGTTAAGAACATCTAACTTACAGGGAACTTGTACTTATGAATGAACTGCCATAAAGCCTATTATATTAAAAAATTAAGTTAAATGCAGTGATTGATAATAACGAACCCATGCTACTTTGTGATGCTCTTGAAAACTCTGCGGCTTCAGCAATTTGTTATCCTGAGGAAGGAGAACTTCAGATCAGATCACTTTGTCATTAGCACTGGGTTGAGTGTATAACTTTTTATTTGGTTTTAATTTTTCTCTTTCTTTACCCTTGTAACCATGCTTCCAAAGTGTAAGTCTGCTGAAAGTGCTTATGATGCATCAAAGAAAAAGGCAAACAATCATGATTGAAAATAAAGTGTCAATAATAAAGTGAACAGAAAGGGGTAAAACATCACCAGTCACTAGAAAAGCATTAGGCTACAATCCATGAATGATCAAAACGATTTTGAAAGATAATGTGAGAATAACGGAGGATGTGAAAGACCCTGCCCTCATAGAAACTACAATTATTACTAAACAACACAGTTATTTAATCATTGAAATGGAAAGGCTATTGATAATATGGTTAGATGTTAAAATCAAAGTAATATGCCTATTAGCCTTTATTGCAAGAAAAGTTTAATGATTTAAAAGCTGCACATGCACCAAGTGAAGGTAATTGTAACAAGGAATTGGTTACAAGTAGGTATTGGTTCAATTGTTCCAAAATGAGGGCAGATTTACAGAATATTAAAATACAAGGTGAAGTAGCAAGTGTCGATATAAATGCTGCATTTGATGTCCTGAAATGTTGAAATAAATTTATGAGGAGGGAGGCTATTTGTCAGGCAAAATATACTGCTCACAAAAATAAAGGGAACGCAAACCCCTTCAGTTCCATGGTAAAATGTTCCCTTTATTTTTTTGAGCAGTATATTTAATATAGATGAGATTGGCTTATTTGTGGGGAAAAAACACCTGATCTACATTTCGAAAGAGGAAAAAAGTACACTAAAGGTCAGTAATGTATTGAAAGGTAAACTAACGCTTTTAATTGGGGTGACGCATCCAGGGATTACAAGATCAAGCCTTTGCTTATATATCACTCCCTAAATCCAAGACACTTTGCTACATCATTAAGTCATCTCTTCCCATTATTTGGAAGGCAAATGCAAAGGCTTGGTTTACAATTGCACCTTTGAAAATTGATTCTTGAACTATTTTGTCCCTAGAGTTAAATATTATTGCATAACCAAGACATTTTCTTTCAAGACTCTCGTTGGGCTTCACAATGTACCCAGATATATAAGCATTTTAGATGATCTTCAAGTCAATGTAAAGGTCATATTTTCACACACACCCCAACACCACATAGATACTGCAACTAATGATCAGGTAGTCATGACTTTGTTATAAGGCCTATCTCAATGGTATGATGACTCTGGGCAGCTTACGATATGATAAGTAAAGTACTACAAGACAATTAAAATTAGGAGGAATTAAATGGAAAAGCTAAAAACCAAGACAATGGGTGGGTCTCAGGGTGGGATCTTCTCTATCTGGTCAGCCACCCCCAAGGTAGCAGGCCTTTAAGGCCTATTATTTATGGTGAGCATAACTCTCAGGACTATCCCGAATGATCTGATGACCATTTGACTAACTGACACTAAGTAACTTCAACTTGCCTACAAATTTGAATTAAAGACAGACTTAGGAACATATCTCATAACCAGGATCCAAGCAGAATTTGGATGCTATACCTCTCTCTTTGCTCTTGTTGGCATGTCAGCCTATCCAGATTACTGTATCAAACTCAATCACCAGTTTCAAAGAATTAGAACTAGAATTCTTCCTTATTTTTTGTTTTATTCCCCTTGCAAATCCTTGCACCCCCTTCAAAATTCTCAAGAAGCAGTTGACCCTACAAAGTAGCAGATGACATAGGGTTTACAGCAGGAGTAGGTTACCCTTCATTTCCAAGTGTACAGAATAACATTTGAGATAAGTTAATTAAATTTAGTTTCCCTGATTCTACTTATGAATGAATGAGCAAGCACTCCATTATTGCAGCTTGAGCAAAACATGTAGTTGCAGTAGAGACAGGATGATTTCTTAATGGCTACCAAAATGTTCAGTGATTATTGGATGCCATCAAGTCAATGTTGACTCTTAGTGACCAGGTAGATATACATTTTCCAGGGTGATCTGTTCCAACTTGGTCTCTTAAGATTTTCAACTATGTACTCATTTTGGAAGTAACTGAGTTCATCTTCTATATTCTGGTGCTTTTCTTCCATCTTTCCCAGCATTATGAACTTGTCAAGGGAGCCAGGTTTTCATGTAATGAGTCCAAAATATGGTAATTAGAGCCTGGTCATTTGTGGTCATTCTCAAGTGAGAACTCTAAGTTGATTTGTTCTATGATTTTTTTTCTCTGTATCCATGGTATTCTCAACAATCTTTCCAATCACTAAAATTCAAAACATTCATTAAAATCTCTGTCCTGCTTCTTCAAAGTGCAGGTTCCATAGAGTATCATGGAAAACATGATTGCCTACCCAATACTTATCTTTGTAGGTACAAATATGTCATAGAGAACATCATATACATATAAAGATTCTGATCTTTATAAGAATAGATATGTTTGTTTTATTAGAACACTTTTTTCAAAGCCTTCATTGCTCCCTTACCAAGTGCTAGTCTGCAGTGTTCATTTATTAGATGTTGCCTCCTTTACCGTTGATAGTCATTCCTAAAAGGCAGAAGCCATCTACCACTTTAAAATCTTCATTTTCATTTCCAAGGCTAGTGGCTATACTTGTTGTCATTAGTTTGGCCTTTATATATAACCTTATTCTCATTTTTTCATTGTACTCCTTGATTTTCATTGTTGGATCATTTGCATTTTCAGTTATCAGAGTAATGTCATTAGAATAGCATTGCCATAGTTTGGCTAGAATCTTTATTGATTCTTCTGTTACTTTTCTGTAGATATTCCTTCAATTGCTGTAGCTTTTTAGCTTGATACTGACCAGAGTGCTGATTTAATCATTTTTATAATATTAAGAGTTTATTCAAATAGGAAAAATCTTCTAAAGTTTCTTAGATGTAGATAACTCTAGTGCACAGAATTTCAGTATTCCTCTACCTCTGTCTGATCTGTTTTTGAATTAGTTACTATCTCTCCATTGGTGTCCTCTAGCATACCACTTCAAGGTTGGAACCTCTTTATGAGTTCAGGGAACTTTTGGAAGACTCATTTTTCAAAGGCTGTTTCTATTTGCAATGTCTTAAGAGATGTTATTGTAATACTGCTTCTTGTCTTTTCTAGCAGCTCTCTGAAATTATTTGTTGAATTCCTCCCTGAAATTGTTGCTTTGGCTTCTCTTAGGGTTGTTTCTCCTTCTACTCTTTTTTAATCTCCTTTCACATTCATCCTTAACTTTTTCTTTATTTCATCCTATCAGTGGGACTCAGGATTTCAAAATAATTTGTAACCTTCTCCTTGAAATTGGTGGGTATATGTTCAAGATTGTATTGGGTAACTGGCTTTGCTTTTCCATTTTAGCTGACTTGCCAGCCAAACTACCGTTGGCCATATTTTTGCTGTTATTACTGAGGTCTTCCACTTGCTGGTACCATAATATAGTCAACCTGATTCCTATGTAGTTCATTTGATGATGTCCATTTATGTAGGTGTCATTTTGATTGCTGGAAGAATGTGATAACAATGATGAAGTCATCAATTGGTAGAAAGTGATAAATTGTTCTCTTCATTTCTGTTTCCTACGCCACATTGCCCAATCACATTTTCCTCCGTACTATTTCCAAATTGACATTCCAGCCACCAACAATGAGCAGCACATCATCCATGTTCTATTGATTGACTTGGCCATGAAAATCATCAACTACACTTCTGCATTATTGATTGGCACATAAACTTGGATAAACATCATATTAGAGGGTTGTCTGCAAAATCTGATAGATATTTAATTGACTGTATCTTATCTCAACACTGTCTTTATTATAGCTTTCCTGACTAGAAATCCATGCCATTTCTTTTTTGATATTCCTGCCCTTAGTAGGATCTTCTCACTTAAAGGATCCAGTTCTGGTCCATTTGAATTTACTAATGCCTCAGATACCAATATGTTGTTGATTTGTTTAATCTTTCTTCAGGTTGAGCTTTTCATGTTAATGATCTCATGTTCCCTTTTCCCACTGTAATTTTTTTTTTGGGGGGGGAGCTTGGATTGCCCTTTCCTGCATGCAAACTTCAATAACTAGATATCATAAGGTTTAGTTGCATCATAAACACCATTCATACCCTGAAAGATCCTCAACAATTTGCTTAGAGGGGTCCATCAATTGGCACTATATCATCAATCACCATTTTTCTATAGATTACTATAGGTGTCCACTTGCTTTAGTTGGATAGTTGGGATAACTTTCATGCCTTGGCTGAGCCTGCTGGAAATATTTACTCTTGGTATATATCTCAATCATTCTTCACTCATCCATCCCAAGAGCACCTCTGCCATAATAAGGCAGCATATCTGGACATATAGGGAAAGAATTCAATGGAAAAAAGTAAATACCTGGCTGCCAAAGATGCACTTTTTGTCCTAACATTGAGACACTTGTCACTTGTATCATTTCAATAAATTGCAATCAAACAGATGAGGTATGGGTAAGCTCATGTTTCTAGTGAAGAAAACAAGTAGCAAGGAAATGTACAGGATAGGTACACCCTTGAAATTTCAAGCATTATGAAATGATTCAGATAAAGTTACATTCTCCCCTGGTAAAAGATGCCTACAGTA